TAGTAGAGATAATCTGAGTTTCTTGTTGCCCAGTACCCTGACAGTATGGGGTACTTGGCCTGATGTAGTCTTTAAACTACCATCAAGAAGTTGATCATAAATTTGGTAATGATGATGATGATAACAATTATAATAATGTTTGATAATTTGCAATGTATTATTTGCTTTCAGTCTGAAGATATCCTGTTTGATCCTGTGATGCTTACGTCGTGCATTAAAGACATAAAAACCATATGCAATGACGTTACTTATGGTCAAGCTAAGGTAAGTTTTGCGCATGTCTGAGCATCACTGTTGCTGCATACTTCATTGACCCAATCAATCATTTTTTTTTTGTATTTTGCAAGAATAAACTACAGCCAAAGTAGATATTTGTTAGAAAAAAACAGACAGAAGACAAAACAGAGACTGACTGATTGACTGACTGATTGACTGATTGACGGATTGACGGATTGACGGATTGACTGACTGACTGACTGATTGACTGACTGACTGACTGATTGACTGATTGACTGATTGACTGACTTACTGACTGATTGACTGCCAATTGATTGATGTTTCTTGAAATTTTCTCTTGTGCAGGTTTTAGAGTGCCTTAAGGATAACGAATTCAAGTTATCACCGAAATGTAAAGACACCCTCTTCAAACGTGAGGTAGGAAAGGAGTGGATGTTATTAGCGAAATGGTGCTGTATTAGAACAGTTTATTTCACAACTTACCTAATCTTCAATAGCTCTTAGCTGAATAAAACAAATTGTAATGTGGAACTCTAATTCTGCTCACTTCTCGATCCGTTTTTAGCTTAGTTTATGTGTTTGTGAAAGTTTGCACATGCTAATACAGTCAACTCTCGTTATAGCCGACACGCCCGGGGACGTCGCTTAGTGTCCTTAACAGCGAGAGTCCGTAATAGCGGTATTTGAGATAAAGAGTTCCCTTAACATGGAATAAATAACATAGACAGTGTCTGAAGTTATTTTAAATCTTTTATGTGGTAAAGAATTGATATGAAAATAAACATTCCAGAGGTCTTTTCAAGTGTATTTTGACAAATGATGAACAGCAGACTGTAATTTTACATAATTATGTTATATGAGAAGTACGTGGTGTTTGCTTTATCGAGAGTCAAAACAATAAAATTGTCATTTTGGTACCACGAAAGCGTTCGTAATTCCGTAATAGCGAGAGTAGTTGACTGTATGTAGAACTGTTTTTAAGGCGTGCGTGAAGGTTTGAGAGATCCTTGATTGAGATCAGAGAGTCTAAGCATTCAAGCCATTTTTGTGTACATGCTCCTGGATCAAGCTTTCCTGCTTTGAGACCTGGCTGGGATTATTGTGCTGAGTTCTTGGGCAAGACTCTTTACTCTCGCAGTGTCTTTCTTCAATCAGGTGTATAAATGGGTACTGGCAAATTCCGTGTTGGAGGTAACCCTGCAGTGGTCTTGTGTGGGAGCATCAGTATTACTAGTCACTTCATGCTACAGAATCTGGAAGAATCTGGAGCCACTAGGCTATAATACAGACTTTACCAACCAAGAATACAACACAAGGGTGTGGGTTTTTCGCCCGACCCTGGCAAAGTACAAACCTGTACCTCTCAATCCAGATGCTAAATGTCTGGCCACTATACATCCTACCATTTCAAGTGTCACTGATTCTTTGTCGAGCGGCTGAATGTAATAACAGTCCTTGTTTGCGTTCCTTTTCATTTCAGGAGGAAGAGATGCAAGACCCTGAGCTGGATTACAAACTGAGACGATCGTGTAAGAAAATGATCAAGGTGTGACTGTCTGAATGTCTGTCTGTCTGTCTTTCTGTTTGTCTGTTAGTTTGTACAGTGTAACAATATCAACCTCGGCAAAGTTTCAATCTTGAGCGAGTCTGGACAAAGTAATTCTGAAGCCAGCAGTGAAACTAAGCTCAAACTAATTTCGAAGCCATGACTTCAGTGATAAAAGTAATTTTGAATTGTTACTGAGTTTTGAACTTCTTGAAAACCATTTCTTGAAAACTTAGCCAGGTATGTGAACAATGTTGGGGTAGCGTTCATGTCTTAAGAATGCTGCAGTCAAAACCCAGTTGCCCTCCAAATGACTTGGAGGTTTGCTGGTATGGCACTGAAACGTTGTTTCGCTTGACACCCGCAACTTGGTGTTCTATGCAAGTGCACTGTCTTAAGCCAAGTTTTTTACAAATCAGCGGGTCAGATTCTTTTATTCACCTCTGGAAATCTTACTCAAAGTTAGTACAGAGCATTTTCACACGACGTCACAGCCGCAAAACTTTCCTATAGTTTTAGAACACCAATTTGTGCAGTGAAAACACTTCAATTCATGCTTGTAGTGGGATCTTTATCCCAGTTTCCTTTGTCTTACCTATCAGCCATTACTTCGTGTAATAATGTATGGTGGAACTGCGTTGTACAATATTTGAACAAGACTCTCAACCGAAAATCTGTTCTTTCATTATTTGATGGCGATAATATTTTTTTCTTGGTCAAATTCATCATTTGTGTTACTGCATATAATCCTGCACACAACTTAGATAACCAGGTAACAACAAGAGGGGATGAAAGGTTAGAGAGTTGAGCTTTATTCCCAAGGTAATCTCTCTCAAGTTATTTTTAGATCACTCCCAGTTTCGGAAATCCCGGGAGGGTCTGGATATAACCAACCCTGTGAAGCCGAATTTGCTCACGTGGACAGCCCAAGCGGCTCAACACGCATTTTGATCCTCCACGAAGTCATCCACGTGACCTGGATACCATTTCTAAAAATAACTTGAGAAAGACTACCTTGAGATTGAATGAGACTTCAGGGCTCGAAATTGCGACTCACTGGTCGCCAGTGCGACCAACAATTGAGCACTGGCGACTAAATTTTCAGAACTGGTCGCCAGTTGGCGACTCGGCACGTTTTGTCCAATAACTAAAGAAAACCACGACACAGCTTTTGTTTTTAAATCTTTATATTAGGAAATCAATCGGATATGGCAGCTAGTTTACAACTCACCTTTCCGTCGCCAGTAAAATAATGTCTGAATATTACAAGATAATCGAAAAAATTGAATGTATTTCGACACGTCGATATTGAGTTCACAGCGCGCCATATTGTTTCAGCGGCTTCTTCCGAAACTGGGATCGCAGGCGCACTTCAACGCCATGGGCTTCTCATGTTTTCATTTGCCGCGAAAGTCGCGGCAGATACCAATCAGTTGAAGGAATTACGTGAGTTTTTACGTTAGGGGAATGAAGATTCAGCACGGACTCGTGTTTGTCTCACAATGAAAACCACGGACTTTAAACGTTTTATGCGTCACTTCATTTAAAATGACTATGGAGACAACCATCACCTTCGGACCAGAGACATATCACCTTAGAACAACGGTAGCTCTATAATTAAGTGTTACTCGTGTTGTTTCTAATTGTTTTCGCTCTTCAATTTGTGACTTTCCTTGCATGCAAAGTGAAGTATAAAATCGTGTTCTTGTGTAAGTTATATATAAAATCAGTTGGCGACCAAAATTTTTCCGTTAGTCGCCAGCTGGCTCCCGAACGAAAAAGTTAATTTCGAGCCCTGGACTTATGTGAGGGATTAACTGTCTTACCCTTCATGCTCTCTTGGGAACAGCTATATTGACTCCTTTCTCTCTTGTTTTCAGATGTTTTGCGACGATGTTAAACCATCAGAGATATTTTCTTGCCTCAGAACGAACAAAAATGATCCAAACATGGAGGAAGGGTAGTTTTCAAATTCTTTACATCTAGAATCAATCTAGGAAATTTTGTCTTTGAGCTTTCAAGCGGTACTTTAGTGCTGTATACTCCTCTAACTTGCGTGACTGTGAATGAATCCCAATAGACCGTGTTCATGTTCTCGTTATTGGACTGGAACTAGCTTGCAAGTGAGGCTAATGCGGGGAGTCTTATCTCTTTTTAATGATATTTACCCGCAAGAGCCTCCACTGCAAGCTAGTTCCAGTCCAATACCGAGAACATGAAAATGGCTTCTTGTGTGACCAACGTAAGAGATTTCCCTCAAGCCCCTCTACTAACTATGTTCAAGCTTAGCTCGACAGCTAAATAAATGCCCGTTTTCTCTTAAACGAGCGTGGCGACCTATATTTTTTATTGCATAATTATATATTTCATTGTTCCATGCGCCCGGTACTTTCTACCTATCAAGTTTTTTTTTAAGTATTGCTTTAATAACCTTTGCTTTCAACTACCACAAAATGTAACTTCAACCGATAAAATAACGCTCTTGATTAGGCATAAATGGTGTAAGTTTGGCCCATCATATCTCTAGCGAGAATGGTGACCTATCTTTTTTATTTGATACAGTGCCTGGTAGGGAAGATTCACGGAAAGTTTCAAAAACATTTTTCGGCAACTTTTATTTTTCACGAATCACCTTAACTTGTACTGTATGACCAACTTTACTGAAATGCATGGCATCCATTACTGAAATCAGGTTTACTTATCAAATGTTTTAGTTGTCGTGACATGATCATCAAGAGACAGATCAGGCAATCGAAAGGTATGTTATGTAACCTTTCCCACCTCATATACCGCAATGCATTGTGTGTGTGTGTGGGTCTGTAAAGGGGGGGTGGGGGTGGGGGTGGTGAGGTGTAGTGGATTGAAGGTGGGTATGGTTCCGTAAGCTTGAGGTAGGGGCTTGTGAGGTTTAGTGGTGTAGTATTCATTGAGTGCTGGAGCTGGAGGCTGTGTTATCGCATTAAATGTGAAGTTAAGAGTGAATGTGTAAGTAGCAAACATTGATTTAAAATAACGCGGTAACATTATATATAACTTTTTTTTGTTTCAGACTTTAAACTCGACCCACAGCTGGTCAAGTCCTGCAAGCGAGACGTTCCTAAGTTCTGCAAGGATGTCAATCCCGGTGAAGGAAAGATGGTGGAGTGCCTGAAGCAGCACTATGAAGTATGTTTTGATGATTTATTGTTCACATTAAACCATATACTGCTAAATTGCTGACATGAGCAGTTTTTAGTGAGGAGGCAGTAGGCGATTTCCGAGTTACCTTGTGCCTCTGTTTCAAAACGAGGCCTCGTGCAAAACTTTTCTTATGAAAATAAGTTTGATTTGCATGAAAATGAACCTGTAAGGGAAACACATTTTCATATAAATGGTTTCACACAAAGACGTTTTGACGCAGAGGCAAAAGGCAATTTGGAAATGACCTATTGCGCATTGTATTCTATTGGGGCACTCGTACTAGATTTTCTTGTTGTTTCATGCTGCTGTGCAGGCCAGACAAAGTTCTGATACTTCGATAAGGCGCTCCGTTGCTAGGTAACATCAAACCTGCAGTATTTTCATAGTGACAAGCTCGCTAGACAACTTCCACATTGCTCGTGAATGCCTGCACGACTTTCTAACAGGGCAAAGACTGGTTGAAATTTTAAGATTAACTGCGCTTTTGCCCAGCTTCACCATTGTAAGAGTATTTAGACATATGATCTGAATCAATTTCCTCTCAGCGTCTTTCTGATGAGTGCATGGCCTACGTCAAGAGACTGATGCGCGAAGCTGCACGTGATTACAGAATGGATGCTAGGCTGTCCAAAGAGTGTGCTGATGATGTAAGTATGCTTATCTTGAGGAGGGGTGGGGTAGGGTGGGTGCGAGGAGGGATAGGGAGGAGATTCGTCAAGACTGATGCGTGAAGCTGCACGTGACTACAGGCAGTCCAAAGAGTGTGCTGGTGATGTAGGTATGCTTATCTTGAGGAGAAGTGGGGTAGGGTGGGTGAGGGGAGGGGAGGGATATTGAATGGATGCATCAAGACTGATGCGTGAAACATTTGGATTATACTAGACCTGTTTTCTACGAGCAATAGTCAACACAGCTACGCCTCCTAGACTATTCGCTCTTAGAAACCTTGCGCTCGTAGTCATAATTGTTACGTAACACCTGGGCAGTTATTTGTATAGTGTGGTTTTACATAAACGGAGAATATTTTTGCTTCTGTCAGATTGGCAAGTTCTGTAGCGATATTCCTCCATCTGGCGTGGAAGAGTGTCTCAAATTGCATTTAGGATCAATTGCATCACAGCGTTGTCGCGTGGTAAGTCATGTTAAGTTCTTTACAGGAGTGGAAGGGTCTTGTGTTGTGAAGTTCTACAATTATCCAATGAAAAATGTTGGGAACGTTTTAATGACGTAAAAAACAAACCAGCAGCACAGAACTGGGCTTTGGTATGGGAGAAATTTTATTGTTATATCGCAAGAGCCCTAGCTGAGTGTAAGTCCATGGACTGATACTCGGGAGTACTTATAACTGAAATGAATTTGCGTTTCCGGTATATTACCTCAGCGTAATGCTCGATTCTATTTTGTCGAGTCACTATTTTGCTTAAAACTATGCCGGTATTTGCAACTAAGCGGTAGTCACGTATAATTTTCTGTTTGTTTTGTAGGAGATAGTTCGTCAGATGAGAGAGGGTCGCACAGACGTACAATCTGACCCGTTGTTATACAGGGCATGCGCAGTGGATGTCAAGCGTCACTGTTCCGATATACCATTTGGTCGAGGAAAAGGTAAATTACAGTACTTTTGTTGAGTGTTTTCTAGATCATTCGCTGTGGAAGGCACTCAGTCAAACATACCCTAATAGAGGACAGATTGTCTCAGCCGCATGTGAACCCTGTGGGCACTTTCCATTTGACGGTTTAAAATTCCGGTTTGAATTTTCCGAAATTTCTAGACAACAGCGCGCGAATTATATGTACCCAAAATTTTGAAACTCCATGCAGTGAATTTTCGGTTGAATGGTNTTTGAATTTTCCGAAATTTCTAGACAACAGCGCGCGAATTATATGTACCCAAAATTTTGAAACTCCATGCCGTGAATTTTCGGTTGAATGGTTTGCATTTCGAAAATTTTACACTCAATTGTAAAAAGAACTGGAAAGTTCTCGAAAAATCCGTAGTTTAGGATTTTTCGGAAACAATCCAAGGAAATTACCGTACCGTTTACCCGAGTTTCAAATGTTTAAATGGAAAGCGCCCTGTTTATGTAACTCGTACCACGCGCTCTAACCAATCAGAGCAAACGCATCAGACCTTTGACCAATCAGGAAAAGCCAAATCCGTTAAGACTCGGCGTGCGCGCGTTGTCTGGCCCTTTCTTTCCCGCGCTTGGCAACGGCTGCACGTTCTTGCTTACGTTGTAAATTTTTGTGGTTTTACCATAGTTTAGTTTTCATGGTCTCAACGGTGACCACCTACGGCCCTTAAGCTGTAGCTTGGAGACTCAGAATACACATAATTATAGTTAATTAGCTTGAATGGTTGGTGTCATTGTGTACACAGTAATGAAGTGTCTCTTGGAAGCCCACGAATCGAATCCAGCTCGTTTTGATAGAGAATGTCTGCTACATTTGTCGAGCAGAATGAAGATGTGGGAACTAGCAGCAAAGGTACGAGTTCAAATTTGTGGTAACACACGTTCAGCTATGCCTCTCAGCATTGAAATCCTTGGAATTTTTCAAACTGCCAAAAAATCTCATTCTTGAACATCTATGCTATGCTATATGCTATGCTATACATCTAATGGCAAGGAAGTGTGACACGGTTATGTTAAGGACCAATGTAAGGAATTGGACCTTGCCTTCTTGATCGATTCACAAGTTAAAACTCGACCCAAGACAGCGGCTAAAGTGCTAATGGAAAGGGGTTGGTCTTCGTTCTATTTGTAAGAGAATATTATCTTCTCAAACGTTTTCATTTATGGTGTTTTGTTGTGTAATGTGTGCAGGTTTGCTGGTGTGTAATGAGAAAGAGGTTTTCTCCAGGATACTTTAGATCTGCGAGTTCACTCAATGATAGCCAGAGCGCGGAGAAATTCTAGAAAACAGTTTTCTAGAATATCCCCGCGCTCTGGCTATCATTGAGCAACTCTTGAACTTGTTAAAAGAACTTCGTCTGTGCTTGTTGTCATGATGTAAAATCGGAACGTCTTACTATACAAGTTTTACTTATTATTTCTTTGCGTTTTTCAAGGTCGCACCTCCTGAAACTATCGGTGATCTCGCTTTAGCCATCTCTTCTTCGCCATCCAAGAACTACTTCTTCGTCATTTTTGCTACTTGTTTGGCGCTCATATTTGTTGGTGGGCTAGTGTTTGGCCGACTGTCCAAGCGAATCAGAAAAGAAGTCAAAGATCGCTAAATAATGGATATTTTGCCAGGACACCTGTGGAATACATCTCTCGAATAACAACAACGACGGACATGCAATTAAGGCGTAGCATTCTACTAGCTTATGTCATGCAACATCTCACGAGTAACTTGATTTTAAAATATTCACACGACTCTTCATTTATATGCTAAGAACAATCAAGCCACGGGTGGGATGTTGACGGTATGGCACGGAACAAGAAATTCAACTGTATTTTATCATTTGTTATGTTTTTGGCAGGAAATGAATTTGAAGTTGTGACGGACGCGGCATCTTTTGGCGGGAAAACACCGTTGTATAGAACTTACGTGATCCCGCCAAATTATGCGGCGGCTTCCAGCTCGTAACATTGCATGGGATTAAATTGGTCAGGTTCATGGGCAGATTATAAACCGTGACTGATATGCGGTTGTTGAAAGTCTTCCGTGTCAGTACTTTTCAATAAAAATAATTTGAAAAGGGAAAAATAACAAAGTAGTTAAGCACTAGTGTTGTTAGTGGTATCATCGAGAGCTATAAGAGCACCCTTCAGGGCTCCTTATGCCTTTGCTAAACCCAGCCTCGTGTTGTTTACATTTCCCAGAACGTTGCTGAGTAGTTGCCAATTTTTTTCCTTCAAACGTGGCTTCAGTATTCCTAAATGTAGTCTAGAATTTGCTCATTCTTGTAAAAAGTAATTCTAATTAGTTTAGGTTTGGACATTTTTCTGGATCGTTTTCACAGTAGAAGTTAATTTTTGACCTGCCATCCTTTCCGCGTCTTTTTTGTGTTTTTGGATTTTCATTTTCATGTTTTATTTATCGTGTGATGGAGAATCGAAATTATTTTGTGGTCTTCTACTCAGATGTTGCTAATGATGTAGATAAAAATCATGATTTAGCAGATATGAAGTTGATAACCAATGTCTAACAAAGTTGCCATTATAACAAAGAGCCAGCTCTAAAACCAGAAAAGTTACCGAACAAAAGGGAAAAGGTTGCGGAGCAACTTGTGGCTCGGCCCAGCCTATGCCGGGTTTTGCACTTGCCGAATACTTAAGTGTATTTTTGTTTTGAATTTGTGTTTGCATTAAGGACTTGTTCATATCCAGAAAGAGAATTTTCCAGAACCAGGATATACCGGTGAGGCCACAGTGATGGGGGAGAGGGGGTACCCCACATCCCGTTAATTTTTGGCCGAAATATCCCGTATCCCGTTAATTTCCTACTCGATATTTTGCTACTCGATATTTTCCTACTCGATATTCCGTTTTATCTGATCTGAATATCCTATATATCATTAATTCCCAGATATCCTGTATCCTATACATATTTTACCCAAATATCCCACATCCCGAAAACCCCATGAAAGGGCCTCACTGGTCTGTCCTTTCCTTTCAAGTACAGTTTCTACTATTTTTGTTGAGAAAGAAAGTTAAGAATCGTTACGTTATCAGATGGGGTTGTTGGGGAAGGGGGAAGGCAGACGTAGGGAGTAGGGCGGAGCCAAGGGACAACCTCTGTGTATGAACGAGGTCTTCTATGTTTGTGAGCCAGAAAAGGGAAAACTGGGGGGTCTAGGTTGTGCGTGGGTAAATGTCGGTGAACTCACCTAGTTAAAAGTTTATCTTTTAGTCGGCCTGCTGTAAGACAAGGCTTCTAGATTGAACTCCAGTCAAGACTTACTGTACAGGTTTTCTTTTTTGTATCTTGTAGTCTATGAAAAAAAAGCTTTGTTAAAACCGTCCAAAACAGGCTCAAAAAGCCTGTATAACTATTATGAATAATTATATTTGGGTAAATTGATTTTAAATTTATTCCATAGTACCACTTACTAGCGAAGGGTTTTATTTCGATTATCTGAATATAGTTGTATAATTTTGAAAGCTAGCTTCTGTTGCAGCAACATTTTAAGTAGGAGGGCTTCATGGTCATCTATTAGGAGAACTATATAAATAGTTTCTGCTTGTATTTAGCTAGGTGGTAAGTTTTTCACTGATATCAAGGTGTAGATAAATGAAATGTGTCAAGTGGCGATTTTCCCCGCGCCTTTTTTAATCATTGTTTACAAACCGTGATTATCTACTTCTTGGTGTCCCAGCTTCACGTTCAGTTGTAGTGTTAATGAAACTAGGTAGTGAATTTATTTTTAAAAGTATTAACTGCGGTTCGAACCTTGCTTGTAGAAAATACCTGTAGAAATTGTTATGTTCAGGCCAATTCAGGGCGGTTTCCAATGACTATGTGCTTGTTTTGTCATCGCTTTCGACTGACTCGGGGAAATCCGTGCCAAACAGGCAATACTTGTATTCTCGGTGTTGGACTGGAACTAGCCTGCAATGGAGGCTCACCCGGGGGAATATCATTAAAAAGAGATTTGAAATGGCGGGACTCCCCGCGTTGGCCTCAGTTTCAAGCTAGTTCCAGGCCTATTTTCTAGCTTGTTAAGAGAAAAAAAGTCTGTCGTGTCGACCAATCAGAAGCTGAGTTACGCAAAACATTTTTCGCGCTTTGTTGGATAATGCGAGCAGTGTTTACGCTATGCGCAGCTTCTTGGTTTTGTG